GTTCATTGAGTAGCAAGAATGAGCAATGAGCAGAGCTTTCTTTGCCGTTTTTCACGAATAATTCAACCAGATTCTTAAGTATTAACTGTATTGACAGAGGTAAGGAGATTTGCCTATTAAATTTTTATTCATTTATTCATCTCCAACATCAAGTAAATGGATGGATGATTCCTGAAATTTAGTACCCTGGTCAAAACAATTGCTCATGAATTACTTCTCGAAGATTGCTTGATAAACTAGTCTGGAAGACGTGTAAAGCATAATAAATCGGCTGATCTGCGAGATCTTAGGCGCTCGGTCCTCGCTTTTAAGATGGTCGAGGAGCGAGGGCTTTATCCCTGCATCTTGTCATTGTTTTAGAACCAGCAACGAATTTTTGAAGTCATCAAAGTGTGGAACAGCAGGTCATTTATAAAACATAAATGACACCCACTTCCAATATTATGACTTACAAGTCCGTTTTAATTATTGAAAATTGTCGCTTAAAACAATGGGAAGAAGTTTTAAGAATGTTATATTCAAAGAGGAAGGAATTTAATTCTAGATAGATGCCATCCGTATACCGTCTAAAAATATCGCTTTTAACGAAGAATCCAAGAGCAAAAGAAGATGGACATTAATGGAGTTTGTCAGTATTCTCGACAAGACTCCTACGTAAGGGTTTATCGGCAGGTAATACGTTCGGTCAGTAATTCTTTAACTTACAGCTGTAGCTTGATATTTATTATAATGCTGCATCAGAAACTAATTATGATAGGTTGTTATAGAAATGTGCTGCCGTGTAATATTGGCTAGTTGTGGACAAGCTGAGTAAAACAATTTAAACAAGTTAAAATTTAAAATTTAAACAAGTTTAAACTTGTACTAAAATAGACCATTTTCGATAAGTAAAAAATTCATAGTTGGCTCCAAGGCTTGTGGAGTAACACAAAAGAAGAACAACAAGAAATGTATTATAAACCGCCCAAGGGTTTTTATTTAGTTTGTTTTATTTCCCACTGAGCCTCGGAGCCAAGTACGAGTTTCAATTTATTGATTGAGTGCTCTCATGATAGGCTATTTCCAGCTTGCACTAATAACCTCTGTTTCAAAGCGAGGGTAAGTGCGAAGCCGTTGACAGCCTCGTTTTGAAAATGAGAGTTATTAGAACTGGGAAACGATCTTTTCTTTTAGCTTTAGGGACACTGCCTCGCCCCAGTAGCTCTCGATCGTTTGACCAGAGGCTATAAAACTTTAAAGCAGGGATTTTTGTCAACCATATGTTATAGCTACCACCAATGACTGACTCCAGGACACCCAATTAAAATGGATTTGCACTAATCCTGACTTTGCAGGGTTCTAAAGGACGAAGAACGACTTATCCCACGCGAGCAGAGTCTCTTTCCATCTCAAAGAAGACTCTGCGCATGCTCGCAGGGTAAAGGGCCTACAGCTTAGCTTGAAAAGGGAAGTTTATCGTTTGGGAATGGATGAGTGTTTATTATTCAATAAAAGTAACGGGGACAACTTTCCTGGTGAAACTGAAAAGTTCAATGAAGATTTCCGGGGTATCTTTTTGTCGAGGATACGCTAAAAATACGCGTCAAATCTCGTCCTCGTCCTCGAATCTGAAGGTCTCAGTCTGTTATTTACTACTATACTGGCACAATTTTTGCCTTCTCCTGAAATACAGTAATTAATATTATTATATAAACACCAATAAAATACCAGGTGAGCTTTCGCGCGAAAACATGATATCTTCACACGTGAAAATAATATGTTATTTCACATGTGAAAATATCACCCTTGCTATGGCTACATAATAAATCGCGCCTTTCGCAGGAAAAAACTGTTTCAGTGAAATGCATGGTTTGGTATTTCATTGGTGTTTATATTATAAATAGAACATTACATGGCCGCTTGGAGATACCAAATATTTCACTCGTTCGCTGCGCTCACTCGTGAAATATTTTTCAACACTCGAAGAGAAATTTCGTATCTCCGTGCGGCCATGTAATATCCTCTATATATAAGAAACGAAGACCGAAAATATATATATTTTTTACATTTTCAGACAACTTGAAAACACAGATATCAATACGAATGTAATTAATATGCTTTAATTCCACGCGGCTAAGCATATCGCGAACGTATCGCTCAAGTAGACTTGTTTTCTCTTTTTAACAAAAGTGAAGGAAGGTCACAAGGAAATCCACTCCTTTTCTTTTTTTTTTTTCTGGAAATATTTTCACAGGAAACTCAATGATGAGAACAGCACTAGAGGGTGAAAATTAAGTTACAAAACGATAATTTATTACTCTCTCTCCTTATGAGTATTTTCAGAGATAACGAATCAGATAATCTAGATGGAACATAACATGGTTAAGAACCCAACTAAAGAAACGGTAAAGAAACGGAGCAGTTAGCTATTTTACGAGCGTAGCCAGGGATATTTGAACCTTGGGACAACCCAAAACCGAATCACCTAGGGTTAAGGGCGAGGCTTGAATTCGGAGCCTCTGGATTACAATTTTAGCGCTTTAACTGCTCGGCCACCCTACCTCTTTTCTGACACAAACTAAGAAAAGAAATTATAAATGATTGTGTGAAAATGACAATTGCAAGATCACGTACCCCCCTTGACACTTCTGTAAACGACAACTTTTACGAAGACTCCAAGAGCGAGCAAAACACACCTTAAAATAGCCATGGATCAGAATTTTTGTTGTCAGGTTTAATTTCCCAGTTCTGCTAAATGACGGCTAATTTCGCTGTTTACAATATCAACCATCATGGTCATTGTGTTTACAGCCTCCCACGCAGGTGTTTTTAGGGGAGCTCGTATTTCGTCCCTCTGCGCAAGAGGCCATTGTTTTTATGCCACCTGCGAACTGTTGACAAGTATAAATCATTATAAAAACAGTCTATGACATAGTAGACTACGAGTAGTCCCCCATTTTCCCTCAGGGATAATAGAGCGAGCGAAACGCGAGCGCGCGAGAAAAGGAGACACGCGGCGTGTCGCCTTTTCTCGCTTGGGGTGATTTTCACGCGCACTCGCGTTTCGCTCGCTCTACGATCCCTGAGGAAAAATGGGGGACTACTCGTAGTCTAGTGACATACAAACTTATAAGTTTCGCTACACACCCTAATCTTAGGCGACATCAGCCAATGCTACGATTTTTAGAAACTATAAAGAGAAAGTGTCTTTTAAAGCAACCAAATCTTGTTACAAGTTACAATGGAGCCTACCTATTTAGCGTTATTTGCATGCCAATGATGATTAATTACTTACATATATTAGGATTTCATTATATCGGTAGGACCAGCCACACAGACCAGCCCAGTGCGCATATTGCTGGTAAATTACAAAATTAGGTATTTTTTTAATATAACGACGGCTTGTTTCGAGTTCACTGTTCTTAAAAGAAATTTGAAAGAATGGCACGAGGGGCCATTGACATATATTTGCGAGTGTTAAAGGAAAACAATAAAAGTAGGTTCGACAGCTACAGTGTCAGGAACAGTGTATTGATTATATCCTATATCACCAATTTCGGGATTACCGCGTGCACATTTCAATTTTCCGACAACCTTTCTCTAAATAAAGTACATACCTTGAGTTAGTGGTTAACGTTAGGGCTACATCATTATTACATCTTTTAGTCAGGTCTACTTAAGAGAAAAACAAGGTGATTATTACAAAGCTTTTCTTGCATCCGGTGACATGCCGATTTCCTCCTTATTTTATTCGTTGTTACAGGTTGCTCATCAGGCTCTTCTATAATTAACGTGTTGAAATAACACACTGTTTATCTTAGGAAAATTCAGCCTGACTGTATCGCTAGTCATTTTGGCCGATATTGATCGATTTTATTGACCCTGAGGTGATACATAGTGGAAAATATATCCTCCGCTATATCGGCCCACACATTATTCATGATCTACCTAGCATACCAGTAGGCTGTCGGTAGTGAGGGAGAAAACAAGGGCGGCCTTGTTGCATCCGACATTTTGTAGCTATGAGAAATTTCTACTTAGCACCGAAAATTGTGCAGAGATCACGCTATTTGACTTAAATTATTACTTAGTAGTAGTAAATATGGCACTCCAAGTTCTCTTTCTCTAAGTCAAGCAAACAACTGGTCGTTTAAAAGAAGAAAAGTTTGTTGTCACCCAACAAACTCAGTCGTATTCAAAGCAGAGAACAGGACCACCGCTCAACCTTAAGTTTTGTATTTGTTTTGGGTTTTAAATGTTTATAGACTAGTGTATCCGATAAAAAAAATAAGTGTTCTTTTTGCCCACTTTATATCCTGACTTTTTGTCAGTCTCCACACAATCAGCACTCTCATCATATTCGGTATTTCTTTCCGAAGCATCGTCTCCAGTGTAGCATTCTCCATAATCATGAACGGCGAAGTATTCGAAACCTTTGTTGAAGGCCANGATTATTACAAAGCTTTTCTTGCATCCGGTGACATGCCGATTTCCTCCTTATTTTATTCGTTGTTACAGGTTGCTCATCAGGCTCTTCTATAATTAACGTGTTGAAATAACACACTGTTTATCTTAGGAAAATTCAGCCTGACTGTATCGCTAGTCATTTTGGCCGATATTGATCGATTTTATTGACCCTGAGGTGATACATAGTGGAAAATATATCCTCCGCTATATCGGCCCACACATTATTCATGATCTACCTAGCATACCAGTAGGCTGTCGGTAGTGAGGGAGAAAACAAGGGCGGCCTTGTTGCATCCGACATTTTGTAGCTATGAGAAATTTCTACTTAGCACCGAAAATTGTGCAGAGATCACGCTATTTGACTTAAATTATTACTTAGTAGTAGTAAATATGGCACTCCAAGTTCTCTTTCTCTAAGTCAAGCAAACAACTGGTCGTTTAAAAGAAGAAAAGTTTGTTGTCACCCAACAAACTCAGTCGTATTCAAAGCAGAGAACAGGACCACCGCTCAACCTTAAGTTTTGTATTTGTTTTGGGTTTTAAATGTTTATAGACTAGTGTATCCGATAAAAAAAATAAGTGTTCTTTTTGCCCACTTTATATCCTGACTTTTTGTCAGTCTCCACACAATCAGCACTCTCATCATATTCGGTATTTCTTTCCGAAGCATCGTCTCCAGTGTAGCATTCTCCATAATCATGAACGGCGAAGTATTCGAAACCTTTGTTGAAGGCCACTTGTGCGCACTGTTGCACTGTCTCCACTTGTGTCCAGTTAATCTGACCACTGAAGTTTGCGTAAATAACCGGTAAGGCGCCCTGATTTTTGTCGTCATTGTCTCGGTAACATCCAATTGGCTGTAGATCAGGCAAGCGGTCTGCATAAGAAATTAAAAAAGAAAAAAATTAAGACGAGAAAAAAAATGATTAAAAGTAAAGAAAACGCTCTAATGAATTATGTGATTTATTCCTATATTAAAGACTGGCATTTATGGCAGTTAAAAGGGACGCAAAATGACTAGGTATGTGAAAGAGGCACCATTTGTCAATAAGGGGTATCTTGTTTTCCGTCAGACAAAAATGATATTAAAAAGGGTAACTGGGGTTAGACTTCGGGGCAAAACCTCCCCATAAAAAACAGTTGGACCATAAAACAAAGGAAAAGCATGACAATTAAACAAGTCATTTCTCTTGTTGGTATTAAGATCATATTAAACCAATCAAAGTTTATTACCACTGAATTAAGTCACGTTTTCAATCTATTTCAACGACTTGTGATCGTCTTTTTGCAGCAGCTCTAGTATTTTTAGACGATCGAACGATGTAGTTAAAGCAACACTACTAACCTAAGGAATAAACGAACATACTATCTCCCTTGCCAATGCCGTCTTTACATTTCGCATTATTTGTACCACTGCTATAGTATCTGTTATGAACGTCTGCTCCGGATAGGCACACACTATTCTCCCCCAACGCGAACATTATGTAATGTTTGTCGCGAGCCAACGCAGCGCACTTTTCCACTGCATTATGAGTGTTTCCTGCAAAATCGCCTAGTACCTCCTCGAGATTAAGAGCACCTCTAAAGCATGCCACTTTTCTTGGAGCTACCATCTTATTAATAAACGGATTTGTGTGAATTGTTACTATGCAGGGATCAGAAAAATAACAGACAAACACAAAAGCTGTCATGAATTCGGAGATTTATATATAGAAGAATAATAAATAAATAGCCTACCCTTAACAACAGGTACTTTTAGCAGGCGCAAAATGTAGAACACAAAGTGCGAGACACAAACAAGATGTACAAAGTATTGGTGTTACTTCTCTGCCCACCAATTCGCCCACCATAGTCAGCATTGTTGACTAACAGGATTATCTTCAAACATAACCAACTAAGTAAATTTTCAGTAATTAACGCGATTTTATGGCGCTTGAATTGGCACAAAGTAGACTTTCATTGTGAACCCCTAAAGTTTAATTCTACAAAAACAGCAATCCATTTTGCAAAGTCTGAAGTTAAGAAACGAGACGGTTATCTTGTTTAATATCTCTCCTGTAGTTTAATATATGAACTTTACATTATCATAAAATACGCCTAACATTAAAATGAACAGCTACTGAGAATAAGACACTTTGTCCCAAATCGTTCCAAAATATCTGAGAATAATCTTGGGTTGAATCCAGCCTCCCCACTCCTCCAGCCCCCCCCCCTCCCTCCCCCTGCTCAATCTTGTGCTGTTATATTTAACATAATTGAACAACTGGTTACCTCAGATCGCTCATTATCAACTAAAAATAGCGTTTCACTGAACTATTCTACTTCATTTGCAACAACGCTAATAAAAATAATATCTAGTAGCTCAAGGTGAACGAACTTCCACAAAAGGCCAGGTGTCTAACTCCTCAAACTCACCTGATGAAAGGAGTGGCACGCTTGCACTGACTGACGGTAAAGTGCTTGGTGAAACCGATGCACTGACACTCAGTGATGGCGATAAACTTGGTGACGCACTAGCTGAAGCCGTGTATCTTGGAATTTTTCTTGTTGCAGCTGTGGAATATTTTTTAGATAGCGTGGTAGGGAGTTGAGGTTTATATTTGTCTCCTCAACTAACGGCGCTCTTATATTTTCTTCTAAAAGATTTGATATTCAAAATCGTTACAATGAACATCATCAGCCTGACGGGAAATTTGCCAACGAATTTATGACATGTCTTTTAGATCAACCGTAGCTACCTGTAACCTGTTAGCCGTGAAATCAGCCGTTTTCATCTATTGATATTTTTTTAGTCATCTCACTCATTGCAATTGTGATCGGAGCAAAAGTCAGTACAGTGGAACCTCACTATAACGAACCTCTATATAGCGAAGTCCTCGTGTCGGTATAACGAACGAATTTCTTTATTTGATATAGCGAAACCTCGTTACAGCGAGCAAATTTGGCCAGTCCCTTGGCCCCGCCTCCGTTATATCGAGGTTTGATGCCTAATGGCGGATGCCAGAAACACTTACTAAGGTGTATGTTATAACGCCCTTGGTTTAACGCGTCCCAAGAAACAACGATAACTCTATTTTAAGGCGTTTTCGACACCAAAGGAAAAGTTCAGAAGAAAATTAAGATAAACGTTGAAAATTTGCAACTTTTAAAATGGCTAGATTACTTGTTATTTTTTAAAATTCCTGGAAACTATACTGATATAACATATAGTAGCGCTAGCTTATCCTCGAACATGAATTGACACAGAGTAGACTTCCACTATGAAACCCTAAAGTTTAATATCTGTGAAAACAACCAATGGTGATAAACTTGGTGACGCACTAGCTGAAGCCCTGTAACTTGGACTGATTTTTCTTGTTGCAGCTGTGGAATTTTTTTAGATAGCGTGGTCAGTAGTTGAGGTTTATATTGTCTCCTCAACTAACGGCGCTCTGATGTTTTCTTCTAAAAGATTTGATATTCGAAATCGTTACAATGAACATCATCAGCATGGCGGCAAAATTGCCAACAAATTTATGACATCATCCGTAGCTACCTGTCACCTGTTAGCTGTGAAGTCAGCCGTTGTCATCTATCGATATTTGTTTTAGACAACTGCCTGATTGCAATTAGCAAATGTGGGTATACAGTGCATGGAACCTCGATATAACCGGCGAACCTCTATATAGCGAAGTCCTCGGCATAACGAACGAATTTCTTTACCCCAGTAATAGTAAAATATATCAAAAAGAACCTTAATATATAACGAAACTTCGTTACAGTGAACAAATTTTGCCAGTCCCTCGGCCCTTCGTTATATCGAGGTTTCAATCCCTGGCATGGCAGATGCCAGAAACACTTAGTAAGGTGTATTCAGACGACCTTGCTTTTACAGCGCGTCCCAAGCAAGAACGGTAACCCCATTTTTAGGCGTTTTTAACATGAAAGCAAGAGTTCACAAGAAGATATACGTTGAAAATTTGTTGTTGCGGGCGTCTTAATTAACCTATAATTTGTTTTTAATTAATCCCTGCAACTTTTTAAAATGGCTAGATTATATATCATTTTTAATATTCCTGGAAAATTATATACAATATATAGTGACTCTGGCTCATCCTCGAACCTTTACCTTGTGAAGTAAAGGCTACGTCGTAAAACGTTTCTACTTCATCCGGATTGAAATGATACGATCCTGCCAGGAATGAATGAGCAAAGTTGCTTTCAAAGCTGTAGCCGCTCGGCGGACTGTACGTGGAGCCGAGTTTTGAATAAGAATTGTGGGAATAAATATACAAGTCATAAACTCCAAAAATAGGACCAAAATTGTAACAGCTGTATATGGAATACAATTGGAGATACCCATACAATCCTGTCTGATTGAACTTTACAGGTGCCCATCCTGGCTTGTTAACCAGCGAGAACAAAAAGGCTTGTGAATCGTACTGATGGCCAACGCAACCAGAACCTAAACAAAGAATAGAAAGGCCAGCATGTTCACTAATGCGTTTTCCAAAACCTTCGGCGTTTTCGTGTTAATTAATAAACTCATCAAAAGCTCCGGGTCCACACATTCACCATTTTAAGTGTCCACCGTCTCAGCCATCGACAACGCATGTCTGGTGGTAAGGCCAGAAAACAGTTACTTAAATAAGTCAACTGAGATACTTACTCCATGATAAACTGGTGTAGCCTCCAAAGATATACTTTCCAACCTTTACAATAGTAATTGTTGGTCCTTTTTCGTCACATAAGGAATGGAATATATTGTTACCCCAGCCATCAAGTGATGCTCTCCAGCAGAGTTTCCAATCATTTTCACTTCTTCTGGGTTTTATCCAGTTGGTCAAGTTAGATAAGTATTCAGAATTATTTCCCACAATGACAGAATTATTTAAGCCAGTTACTAAAGTGGACAAAACAAAAACGATACCACAAAAATGTGTTAATAAAAAAAGATCATTGGATGCAGGCGCGGATCTGGGTTGACTGACCGATTTCGGCCGAGGGGGCATGCTTCTCCGGAAAAAAATTTGGATTTAACTCTCTAAAGCCCCCTCACTGAAATGTACTAATCATGGAGGTATGTATGGTGTGCATTAATTTGAAAACATTAGCGTAACATCAAAACAGTGAACGTTGTAACGCGGATTTTTGACCGGTTTGTAGGTTAGGTTCGTCTTGAAATTTAAAGGTGTTGCAGTGAATCAATCTTCATGAAAGTTTCAAACATTATTATATACATCGTGAAGATTTGGTGATGAGGTTTAAAAAGAATTCTGTCGAGCCGTTCAATATATAGAAAAGCAATAAAAGTCAACATTTTGAACAATAAAGTTGCACTTACACAAGTTAAGGTGGTGACAGAAAAGGTTAGTTTTCAAATTCGGAAAAGAAAATCTGGAAAATATACCAAAATTTCCTAGCATTGAAATATGATATTAAATTCTGACGCTATTTAAGATTAGTTTGAGTAGTTCAGAACTTTTTTACTACATAATTTATAACGGCTTTTGAAAATATAAGGTTTGAATTAAATTTACGTTTTGTTCCAATACAAACATACAGATTTTTTTACTTCTCACGGAGGTTGCTTGCTAAACAGCACACTTTAAGTTCCTAAAGTGGGATTTTCAGTAGCAGGAAAAGTCTAGATCGCGCAAAATTCGGCTTTTACCGATTTCAACGTTTTAATCATTGGTTTTTTGTAATAGTGATGTCGATTTTATTTATCGAACTAAATTTTAAGAAACTTCAATCCAAAATCAGTCCGTGGTGATAATGTCATAGCGATCGGACAAGTGAGGATTACTTTTAAGGCGTTTGAAAAATCTTGGCATGGTCTTCGAAAAACTGTATCGAAACACCTTAAACTGCAGCGTAAGATAGCTTAAGATTCTACGCCCGCCTTTAAAAGGTGCATGTACAGAGATACTTGTAGCGTTTCCTAATTATTAAAGAAGGCTGATATCAGAGTGTCTTTTTTTGGGTTTACTACAGCTCCGTAAACAAACATAACAAACGTTTAAGAGAAAAATACGAAAATAATAAATTGAGAACTACATGAATTTTAATATAAAACCGTTTAACCGATGAGAGGTATAGAAATAAAAGGGTAAAGTTCTTTTGGAATGGCGATAAACTTGGCGACGCCGTCGTTGAAGCCGTGTAACTTGGACTGATTGTTCAAGCTGAAGCTGTGGAAGTTTTTTAGATAGCGTTGTCAGTACTTGAGGTTTTTATATTGTCTCCTCATTTAACAGCGCGCTTATGTTTCCTTCTAGAAGATTTGAATTTCAAAATCGTTACAATGAATATCATGAGCCTGGCATGAAATTTTCCAACGAATTTATGACATCTTTTTTAGATCAACCGTAGCTACCTGTCACCTGTTAACCGTGAAGTCAGCCGTTGTCATCTATCAATATTTGTTTTAGAAATCGACCTGATTGCAGTCAAAGTGGGTAAAGTGCGGGAACCTCCGTATAAGTGTCACGAACCTCTATGTAGCGAAGTACTCGGCATAACGAACGAATTTCTTTAACCTAGTAATAGTAAAATATATGGAAAAGAACCTTGATGTATAACGAAACTTCGTTACAGCGAAGAATTTGGCCAGTCCCTTGACCCTAAAAAAGGGTTATATCGAGGTTTAATGCCTGGCATGACGGAGGCTAGAAACATTTAATAGGGTGTTAATTAACGGCCTTTAGTTGGTTTTACGCGTCCCAAGCAAGAACGGTAACCAATTTTAGGCGTTTATAATGACATGAAAGCAAAAGTTCTGAAGAAGATATACGTTGAAAATTTGTTGTTGAAATTAGTGTTTTGATCAATCCCTGAACTTTTTATAATTAGGATGGCTAGATTACTTATCAGTTTTTAAAATTCCTGGAAAAATTATATATAATATATAGTGACGCTAGCTCATCCTCGAACCTACCTTGTGATGTAAAGGCTGCGTCGTAAAACGTTTCTATTTCACCCGGATTGAAATAATACGATCCTGCCAGGAATGAATGAGTAAAGGTGCTACCATAGCTGTAGCCGCTCGGCGGACTGTACGTGTGGCCGAGATTTGTGTAAAATGAATTGTATCTAGGAGAGATTCGCAAGTCATGACCTCCTCCAAAAGTAGGACCAGAGTAACATCTGTATATGGATTCGGACAGTGAGCCGTACCGCTGATCGAACTTTACAGGTGCCCATCCTGGCTTGTTTACCAGGGAGAACAAAAAGGCTTGTGAATCGTACTGATGGCCAAAGCAACCAGAACCTAAATAAAGAATAGAAAGAATCCAACAAAACGTCACTGTAAGGCCAGCATGTTCATTAATGCGTTTCCCAAAACCTTAAGCGTTTTCGTATTAATATAAACTCATCAAAAGCTCCGGGTCCACACATTCATCATTTTAAGCGTCCACCGTCTCAGCCATCGACAACGCATGTCTGGTGGTAAATTTTCGTTCCCAGCCGGGCCTATCCTTGGAAGTGATGTTTTTAATTTTACCGCGTTGTTGTTTGTTAATGCATGCAGCCAGGTCATGTATGGTAACTGGCAGTATTTTCCGTCAGCGTTTTCGAAAATCTTTGATGGCTTTCCACAATAACGCGATCTAAACCTAATTCGTTACCCAAGGATCCTACATTCGAGAATCGGGTTTCGAATGCCTTCAACTAATAAAACTTCTATTTTTGATCGTTCAACTTGGACCAAGGCCAAAACGTATAAAAATGCATGTGCCAGTTTGAACAAATGATAACTTTAGGAAAAAGAAAAATGAAACGTCAAATAAATAGTACAACTGAAATGTGATAATCTAGACACTTTTAAACACGCAAACTAAGACTAGAATACTTACTCCATGATAAACTGGTGTAACCTCCAAAGATATACTTTCCAACCTTTACAATAGTAACTGTTGGTCCTTTCTCGTCACATAGGGAATGGAATCGACTGCTATCCCAGCCATCACGTGATGCTCTCCAGCAGAGTTTCCAATCACTGTCACTCTTAATAGGTTTTATCCAGTTGGTCAAGTTAGACAAGTATTCAGAATTATTTCCCACAATGACAGAATTCTTTAAGCCAGGTACTAAAGTCGACAAAACAAAAACAGCATCACAAAGTGTGTTTAATAAAAAAAAGATCATTGGATGCAGGCGCGGAAATAGGTCGGACTGACCGATTTCCTGAACGAGCGCCAAGGGGGCATGCTTTTCCGGAAAAAAGTTTTGGATTTTAACTTCTTAAAGTCCCCTCACTGAAATGTACTAATCATGGAGGTATGTATGGTGGGCATTAATTTGGAAACATTAGCATAACGTCAAAACAGTGAATGTTGTAACGCGGATTTTTGACCGGTTTGTAGGTTAGGTAATCGTCTTGAAACTTAAAGGTATTGCAGTGAATCAATCTTCATGAAAGTTTCAGACATTATTATATACATCGTGAACATCTTTTGATAAGGTTTAAAAAGAATTCTGTCGAGCTGTTCTATATATAAAAAAGCAATAAAAGTCAACATTTAGAACAATAAAGTTGGTGACTTACACAGGTGGTGACAAAAAAGGTTAGTTTTCAAATTAGCAAGAAAGAAAATCTGGAAAATACGCCAAAATTTCCTATCATCGAAATATGATATTAAATTCTGACGCTATTTAAGACTAGTTTGAGTAATTCAGAATTTTTTACTACATAATTTATAACGGCTATTGAAAATATAAGGTTTGAATTAAATTTACGTTTTGTTCCAATCCAAAATTATACAGACAAAACTGTATCGAAACACCTTAAACTGCAACGTAAGATAGCTTAAGATTGTACGCCCGCCCTTAACAGGTGCATGTACTGAGATACTTGTAGCGTTTGCTAATTATTAAAGAAGGCTGATATCAGAGTGTCTTTTTTTTTTGTTTTCTACAGGTCCGTAAACAAACATAACTAACGTCATGGAGGCGCATTAGAGAAAAATACGAAAATAATAAATTGAGAACTACATAAATTTTTGTATAAAACCGTTTAACCGATGAGAGGTATAAAAATAAAAGGGTAAAGTTCTTTTGGAATGAATGTCTAAACCAGAAGTCAGCGACGAAAATCATTGGGTGTAGAAAGTGTAAACTTTGCATGGACGTTTTAAACGAAATGAGTCACGTACGGACTAACATTTTTAGATTGGTTACCTGCTAATACAACTCTGTAGCAAAGGCCAGTTATGAGGATTCCAAGTGCCAATCTGAAGAACCCGAAAATACTGAACATAGACGTGGATCAAATCTGTTGTTCTTTAAACTGTCCAGAGTGTTCAGTATGGTAAGGGAAGCAGCCGGGCGGGGAAGTACCGTGTTGTTAGGTAGAAAGTGAATGCAAATTGAAATAGTAACCAACTCTACCCGATGGTTGTCAATTATATATAAATTATTTAACAAAAACTGCTTTGGCTGTCATGAGCAAAAAAGTCGATATCACGATGCTCAGTTGAGTTTTACAAGTCAAGCAGTTTTACCTGATTAAGTGGTAATGACGATTTATTTTTTAAATAATAACAATAAAAAAAAGACTCGTTTTAATTGATAGAGAAATAGCAGAAGACATTCAGAAATTAGTTACACCCTCTAAAATAGACAGAGCATTCACTGCGCGCCATTTTCATCAACATAAATATTATTGGCCAGTTCCTGTTCTTAGATACTTAGTCTCCTTTTGAAAATGGGCAAAGACCGAAAAGTTTGAAACCCGTTTTGAAAATGTTAGACAAGAATTGCATGAATTTTTAATAACTTTTTCTCCCTAAGCTCGGCACATTAACACTGACCACAGCTTCCTTTGACGTTTTCCAAGATTGATTTATCCTAATTCTTGATAGAAGTATTTACAGCATTGAAAGAATTAGCCTAGGGAATTTACCTATAAAAAATATTGATATTTGTCATACATTATTCACTTCCACATTTCCAGCATCAAATAAATGGATGAGCGATAATTTCAGAGTACCGGTTTCTTGATAAGCTTTCTTGATAAGTCAGTGTTAAAGATATTTAAAGCACAGTACCAGTGCTAGCCTCCCCGCAGACGTCCTTTGGGGTTCGTTTGTCACGCACTCATTTCTCCCCCACGGACGTCTGCTAAACACAGCCGACATTTACGTTCTGGATTGTTTGAATAAGCCAATAAGCGGTTAGTTATTGTGTCACGATCAGCCAATCACGTGCTGTGATATAAGTGATGTCTCCGTATTCTCAAGAGAATTATTTATTTGCACGGCTATCTTCTACCTGAGACGACTCAAACGTTTTGAAAAAATCACAGAAACGATGCAATATAGCTGCAGTCAGCTGTATATTTCTTTCGGAAGTTGTGACTATAAAATAATCCGTGCTTTTCTTTGAAAGACTTCAGACAACAGTCTCCCACACGAGCGCGGAGCGGTTTTCAGCGCGGTCGAAAACAATAATTACTATTAACTCTGTATATATTCGAAGTATTAAGAAAAGAGAACTTGTAAACGTGTGTAGGGAAGATATTCAAAGCATTCTTCGAAAACAAAAGCCGTTTCCTTTTTTGCGAAATGTAATTCCACCAAGGAGGTCACAGGTCGCGGACCAAGGACCAGTACGCAAAATTTGGTTATATTTTTTCAGGAGTCGGTAAAACAAAAAATTCGAAGTCTACAGCAATGTGCTTCCAACGGCAGAAAAAGGTTTATCTGAAAACTTGTTCTGCAAAAAGGCACGTCCTCCCGTTGCGTTTTATTTATTCACAAGCTAAGTAAACATGACCACGATGCCACCGAGTCCAAACTTCAAGCTAGAACGACAAATTAACCTACCTGTCAACAAACTTTAATCTCGCTCCTTCAAAGAAAGAAAGAATGCTTATAATAAATAAATCATTGAACCTTTCACTGTTCATTGTATTTTATTTCTCGACGGGAAAGTTGCCGACCAAGGACCACATACTAACTGTACAAGTCACTCGCTAACATTTCCTCCACCGATCGATCTTCAACCAAGCTTCTGGGCTTCCGTAAACAACAGAGAAAGTGCCTCTCTCGACAACCCTCATATTCTCTTTGCTAATATCACTGAGCGTTACAGCAGGAATACCAATATTTTCCAGCTTTGTCAGCTTTGTAGATTGATCTTTCAAGATTTACCAGGGGAGAAACAACAACAACAATAATGTCCAGTAGTTCCACGCACTGTGTCGCAAACAAGCAGCAAAGCTTGATAGATAAGGGATTTGCCAAATCCCGTCGGCAAAAATATGAACTCATCGGTCTTCGCTATAAAATTTGCAGGATAGCTTCTCTCTGATACTTGTTTAACTCTGTATTAATTACAAATTTCTCGCACACTCGATCAAAAGCCTCACTGATCGTGCGAATCTTAACAAGCGGCTCGGGTTACGTTTTACAAAAATCCCTAAACGGCCTGTGATTGGTGAACGTAAATGTCGGCTGTGTTTAGCAGACGTCCGTGGGGGAGAAATGAATGCGTGACAAACGAACCCCAAAGGACGTCTGCGGGGAGGCTA